GGTGAGGAGCGATCGGACGCTACGTTCGGGGATTATATTGATATTTTAATAGGGTATAATAGGGTCAAAGAAGGGGCTCTTGTTGGACATTGAGGTCTACTTGACTTTGGTTGAATGCTCACCATACCCGCGGCTTGGGAGACTCCTTCTTTTACTTGAGGCCCCTCCAAAGTTCATGCGGAAAACCACCAACCTTCAGCAGCACCTGAGGGCAGTAGTTTTGCAAGACACATCCCTTGTCGTTTCCAAGTTGATGGACTACAACAAATCCTTGAATCTTCGAAACACCAAGATCTTTATATCAGAGAGTGGAACCCATCCACTGCCATCCACTTGATAATTTGATCTCTCTGCACATTCGTTCCACTTAACTATCCATGATGTGTCTTTGAGCCCTCAAGCTGCCACACCGTCGGTATTGGCCGAGCTGCAGCAACGCCCATGCACATGCCTGCTGCTGCCTCAACCTGTAAGATTACTCTATAAGATGATTCCTAAGATTGCGAGGTCACAACTCTATATTGGGGAGAAACATTGTCGCAGAGATGTCAGGAGCTCCAACATAGACCAAATGACAAACCACATCATGTTGCAGTTGCCAAATTCTCAACTTGTCCAGATCTTTGTCATTGATGTGTCCAAACCTACGATCCTCCCACCAAAAGAACTCTCCGCATCTTGGTGCTCACCTTCCTGAACACCTCCCTGGCTGAAAAAGGAACGCCAAAATTCAGTCACCGCCGTCCCAGTGACCGCCGCTTTCCTCATCCAGCCACGGATCCGTCCTTGGAGCGCCTGGGCCTCAACGTCCGCTTCAGCTCCTTCGCCTCGCCCGACGGAGTCGCGACGGAGGCGCGACCGGCGCGAGTCGCCACGCGACCGGTTCGGTGGGAGCCTGGCTCCACTCATCAAAGTGAGCGTTGGCAAGAACTGGACAGGTTGGAAAGGTCATCATTCCAAGAAAACATCCGAACATGTAAAGTAGCTACACAGCTACACTATGCGCCTATTGGAAGGTCAGTGGATCTAAGGGTGTTGCATGGGGTAGAGGACGCTACTAGGTCAGTGGTTTTGACCGTTGTTCCAGGCACACTCCTGTCACCCCGCTTCGGCGGGCGCGCACCTTTTCTGCCTGGGCGAACTCCTTCAAGGCCTCAAGAGAGGTGAGGGGCCCGAGGCCCCCCAGGGGCAAGGGCCGTATGAAGGGAGTTCGCTGGTCACAAAGAAGAGGAAAGAGAATGAGAACATGATGGATTTGGTGGGAGAACAAATGATCACAGGCACAACCTGTACACAACCTAGCAAAGCCTGGCACAACTTGTAGAACAAGAACGACGAAGGCAAAGCACTTCCCGCTTTGCCACCAAGAGAGAAAGAAGTCTTTGAACGGATTCCCTTCGTCTGATGAATTGCTGTTCAAGTTCGGATGCGCGAAAGACCCCGCAGCACAAGTGCGACGGCTGGGAAGGACTGCTGGAGCCCCCCACGTAGCTAGCAACAGCGCTGTTCCTTCGCTTGGCCTGCATAAGCCCCTACGAAAGGCAAAGCAAACGAGATCGGACACTAGGTTGGTGTGAATAATACATTACAGCAACACCTCAAGTTTAAAAACCAACAAACAAGCAAGCTGGTTTTGCTGTTTTGCAGTTTGACCAGTCTTTCTTCATGTTCAGTCAGCAAAGGCCATCCCTGGGTTGGGACTCTTCGAGATAGGTGTGTAATGACAAAGATAGGAACACCTCTCAAAGACCCCCCCTTCAAAAAAGGAAAATATATAGACCCAAAAAAACCATTGGCCAGGAGGTATCCCTTTTAAAAAATACACCCCCCTTATCTGTTGGGAATTGCAACCTTTTAACGTACCTTCGCCTTTGGCCCCCTTTTGCCCTGACAAGTATGCACCCATCTCGCCTCAGCGTGCTTCGGAGACCTTGCCACAAAGCTATGGCAAACATGATCCAAGTTCCTCGTAATGGTGAAGTGAACATTTCTTGACGGACACGAAGCATGACTTCTCAATTAAGAGGGGCCATGATTGTGATGTCGTATCAAAGAAAAAGCTCCCTTGACTGCATGAGCTCCATTCTTCAACGGACATACCCATGTCCCCATGTCGTGAGTTGGTCGAAACACGCAAGAGTATTTGGGTCGAGCAACACCAACCATACAAACCCCAATCTGGACCAAATGGACCTGAATATATATATATATATGTATATGTATAACTGTATAATTCATGTTGACCAACCAACTCAGTTTAAAGCATACAAGATCATACATGCACAAACACAAGCTGGGAGACCCAAATCATTTCCGACCATGCGCCAGGCGTCGATTGGAGCACAAACCCCACTTTTGAGCATTTGGCCCACGCAAGTTCTCTTCTCTTGCGAAATTTGCAGGTAAACCGGTTTGGGGCTTGAAAGTCACAGACTTTGGTGACTTTTTTCATTCATATAATTCTTCCTCTACCCAACTGGCATTAAAACAGCTGACCGTTCCGGCCACGGCCAAAGGCTTCGACCGTTCCGGGGCCCCGCTGGGCCGCCGCACTGCGCCGCCAGGGATTCCAAGACCCGTTGCTCCCAGGAAGCCGTCGGCGTCTCATGGGCGCCTAACGCGCGGCTCCGGCTGCGAATGGGTCCGAGAAGAACAAAGAATTGTCCCTGAAGTCGATTTGCTAAATGCTTAACTTGCATGGAGTTGGTTCTTGTGATGCTATAGGTGGCCAAGGGTTGAACCAGTTTTTCGGAGTCAAATTGGTCAAAGCGTTTGCAACTTCTAAAAGAGCGCAGAAGCGTGCGCCATGGAAGTCTTTTGTTGAACCACGTCGTGAGATGGAGACGGACCCGTGCCCGTGACATCGTTCAGCATGGTGATGAATGCTCTGTGACCTCGTGAGAGAGCCCTCCAGACCTTCTTGCTTCCAACCTTTTTCTATTAGGAGCGATCGGACGCTACGATCGGGGCTCCTGGCCTTACTGCTAGGAACAAGAAGCTACTAGGAACAAAGGGCTTCGCTACTAGGAGCAAGGACGCTACTAGCGTCTCCCAAAGCCCCAAGGGTTGTTTGGAACGAAGAAGGCCGCCTTCGCTTTCTGGCACTTCTGAGGATTTCCTGGCGGTCCAGCAATACGAACGATGGCAGTACTTAGCTGCAAAGATTCTGCTTTCGGTCATTCGAGTTCAAGGGCTTGTCAGGCATCTCTCGCAACACGTAAAGGTATGTAAAGGATGCCATTTGACTGTCCAATGCCACCAACCGTATATAAAAAGATTGTTGGCAAATGTTCCGCGAGTGAACACCTGCACACAATTTGGGTAAATACTTCTTACGTTCCAAAGAAACTTCTGGTCAATGTGCGCGTGGTTGGCTGGTGCAGTCTGTCGCCACAGCCCACGCCTCGGAGCTGCCACCGAGCTGGAGGCCGCCGCGGCCGCGGGCCCCACGGGCACGGCCGCGGGCTCCAAGCGCTGGAGCTCGGACCTGGGTTGGGCTCCCCGAGAATGCAACCGAGAACATCTCTGATAGAGTAGGACGAGTCTAGAAAATCTCGTCCCAAAAATCTGAAAAATGAATGCTCAAATTTGGATCCATCCCCTAAAGTCTGAGTCTAACTGGGTCATCCGCCTGGCAGAATTGGTTGCTTGGCATGAGAAAGACAAGGATTTGGAATGGACTTGGGATTGTTTGTGTGAACAGGCCCCGAACAGCCATCTGCACATCCACTGTCAACTCACTTTTCACGAAGCGACAAGATGTTGACAAGATCATACAACATGATGTCCTAATTGGGTGTGTATTCTAATAGGGAGATCCCCTTTCTCGCACCTGGCTGGGTCGACTGGTCTATTTCCCGAACCTGTCAGGAACTTCCAATGGGGGTCCGGTCTCGCTGCACGTCACTGACCCTGAGCACCCTCACTGACTTGGGTGCAGGGAAGAGACAAATGCAGTGATACAAACAGATGGGCCCCTTGAACTGGATCTGGGGCTCAGGAAAAACAAAGCAGTGAAAGCATTCCAACCGATCGTGATTCCCAGTTTTCCAGGCATCACCACCACCACCATCACTGATGCCAACCGATGTGCTAAGCCTCATGACGTGGGTAGCTTTGACGTCTGGCCGGAAACCGTCCCTTGCGCCTGGACCGGGCCGCATCAACGGTGTCGCTCCGACTGCGATCGCGAACTCGTGCTGCTTCATTGTTGGGTGGCCCTGGACGTCTAGATCAGGCAAGAACCAATTTCTCAAACAACAGGTCCTCGGTCCACTGGCCTGGTTGTGGAAGTCCTGTTGGCACGGGAGGCAAGAAAGGCTCTGCACAGGGAATGAAAGGCATGTGGCAAATGTTTGGCCTTTTTGCTGTGACCAAGTGCTGACTTTGAGAAAACTGGTTCAAAAAAGAGTCATTGTAGATCCTTGTAGAGATTCCCTCTTCAAACTCCTTTCCGCTCACACACCATGAAGAGTTCTGATGAAGCAGGGCACTCACACTGAGCAAAGCACAGATTCCTCCAACAACTACAACAGCAAGCTCTAGAAACGAAATGTTGAAATGTTATCAGCTCAAAGACACTTTCAGCAAGCAGTGCCTGGCACTCTATCTGGAACCGCACAACGAGCCGGTCGCTCTGAAGAGCTTCAGACCTTTTTTTTCAACAGGCTCTTTGCCTTCAAAAAGTCACCTGAAGAACGGAGCAGTTGCATCCGTCATGGCCATAAAGCCAAAATGCTGAGAACTAGTTGTACGAGGTGTTGTTTTCGATTCCTGCACAGCTCAGCTGTGCCGATCATGCAGCTACCAAAGACAGAGGCAAAGCTAGTCAGCCAGAAGATACCTCGGTCGGTTGGTTGCACAAGTTTGAGCGACCAACAGCCTCAAGAGAAGCTGACAGTAGCTTCAGCAAACATGGTGAGTAACTGAGTAACTCTCTGGAAATCTGGAAGACACTGAGGAGAAAGAAAGGGACAAGTGACTCTTCTTCTCCAGGTGACTCACATGAAGGGCCAGGTCTTGCCAGTGATGGCAGCCTGGCTGAAGACAATGCAAATAGTCGCCTTCAATCTTAAGTTCAGTTGACGAAACGAAAGGTTTGATATCGTCGAGCAACAAAGCTCAAAAGACTTAGAAATAGTTATATTATATATATATAAGAAATATGAAACACGGAAAGCACCTCGTGTCCGGCCGGCGCCTGGGTGACAATGCCGCTGAAGGCGAACATGGCCAAACGGCCGTTCTCGAGCTCCTGACCAACAAGCTGTCTCATCGTTTCGTCGACATCTATGCTTGGAGGACAGTGTCCACTGCTGCGGCTAGAGTGCTGCCTTCTTTGTCAATCTGCCACACTGGACATTGCCGTTTAAAGTCCAGTTCTTCAAAACAACAACCAAAAGCTGTTGCCGAAGTGGCTTGCTCGAGATGTCCTGCCCCTCCCCCGAAAAGGAGGGAGCATTGCGAGGATTGATGAACTTTGACAATATAGGTACCCGGTACCCGTATGACGGCGCGTTGGCAACCTTGTTGCCCTTCTTCACTGCGTGTTGTTTTAACTGGTGATTGCTACATATTGCTACTGTGCAAGAGTGCCTTTTTGAAGAAGGTATATTCCAAAACCATAAGTCGCGTACTACGCAAGCAACATCGCCATGTCCCGGTTCTTCTCCTTCAATCGCATGTCCTTCTCCTTCTCAGGCTCCTGCGGGTCCAGTGGGTCGCGGCTGGCACCGCCCGCGACGCCGAAGGCGGTTGGGCCGTTGGGCTGAGTTTCTGATGATAAGCAAATGGCCTGCAACCTACTAGCGTCCTTGCTCCTAGTAGCGATGCCAGGAGCCCCTAGTAGCTTCTTGCTCCTAGTAGTAAGGCCAGGAGCCCCTAGTAGCGTCCTTGCTCCTACTAGCGATGGCCAAGTGCAAAGACATCGGTTTCCTTGGGCAGGAAATTCTTGCCCACGAAGAAGTCTCCAGCATCCCGGTTCACCTGTGGTCGGTCGCCCCGGTCGCACATCACGAAATCCGCCGACCCCGGCCTATAGCCAAAGCCTAGGCGGGGAGGCGCCTGGGACACCGCAGGGTGAAGCAGTTGGCCAAGTCTTCAAACCCCTCGGCAGCAGGCCTGCCTCTTCTCTTCTAATCGCAGGCCTGCCTCTTCTCTTCTTATGGGCTTCCAAAAGCGACGTTTTGGCCTACTCCTGCACCGCAGCCTTGCCCTCTTCCTCTTCTCGGCAGCTCGCAGGCCTGCCTCTTCTCTTCTTATGGGCTTCCAAAAGCGACGTTAGGCATTTTGCACC